TTCAATTTGTAGGCCGCCCTATTCTCCGAAGGGACTCAGGGCGGCTGAACAAAGCCAAGGGAGGGGAAATTACAAAAAGATTGTTGTTGGGGGCAATATGCTGACTCTGTAAACCGCTTAGAGAGGGCTGAAAGCCCTATGAAGCGGTATATAAGTTTAACTGCTATTGCTATTGCTATTCATTTTTCAAACCAAAGTCTCTTTTGTCAAATAGAATTAGAACAGTAGGGGACAAATAAAGAAATGCAGGGATTTTCTTTTATTTTTTTCTTTACTCTGCACAGTGGGTTTATCCACAAAATTTTTATTGCATTTTCCTAGTTTGGAGAAGGAATTGCCTATAAGGTTTAGATAGCATAGCACTGTAATACTTACTCTCCCAGAAAGACTATCTCACAGGCAATGTCTCCTTTGTCCTGAGTTATGAAGTCACTTAAGAAAGCAGTCACACTGCTCAGAGTGATATTGCCACAAACAACAATAAACCTATAGAAAGAAGAGAAGTTCACTGCTCACTGACAAGAATTGGCATCTTACTCATAAAACTGTGGATTTTATTTCACAGTGGGATTTTCTTGTTATTTTCCAAACTGTTCTGGGAGAAAGAATGCTATAGAAATAAAAATAAACAAAACAGCAAGTTGGTTAAGAGGACTACAACCAGTGAATCCAAAGTCCATCATTTGTAGTTGCATTATCATAAATTGCCAGTTCACATTGTCAAAGGCCTTCTGAATGTCTAGAAATAAGAGATTTGGCCTATGAATCGGAGTGGGGGTGGCAGCCTGAAATATGGCTGACAAGATGCTGACTTCCAGTCAAAGCAAATGAATAGGAGGGTAAGGAAGAAATGAAAGACTGGTAAGAAAATTTATCTAACCCACAGCCATAAATCAAACATGGAAAAGGCAAAGAAATCTTGAGAGCATAAATAATATTGATGGTCAGAGTGGGATTTTTTCAAAAAGAAAGAAAGAAAGAAAAGGAAAATGGAGGGTTGAAACGCCAGCCCCCCAAGAGCTATTTGTTTGAAACAAATTCAGACAGAAAGGGAGAAAGCAAAGAAGTTACAAACCCACTCAAATATAAACTCTAAATTTGGTTTTGGATTTGAAATAGAAACCAAACATTCATATTTATTCATATTCCATTTATTTTATACGGCAAATTCTGAAGGATTTACTTCATTTGACCTAATATATCATTTTTTCCAAAGAATTTTTATTTTTTATTGTCTTACATACCATTTTAAGTATACATTCACATAATTGGTATTCTTTTTTACATTTATCATTCTTATACATTTATTATTTCATTTAATAAGTTATAATGTACAATTTGGGTTGCTTTATTTACCATCCCATAGCATTATATATTAGAAAGACAGTACAATCAAATAAAATTTTTGAAGATGGAGAGAGCAGAATACTGATGGTGGAAATAATGATGAACATGAGAAAGATATTATTAGTGACAATATACACTCCAAAACGACAAACAAGAATAATTTTTTGGGAAATTACTAATTACTATGAAGATATATGTATACTAGGAGACTTTAATGCAATTGTAAATAATGAAATAGACTATAAATTTACAAAGATGAATAAGAAGCTGAGAAAAATTATACCCAAAACATTTTTCATGATGGTGGAAGAATTAAACTTGCAAGATGCTTGGAGAATATGACATCTGAAAGACAGACAATATACATTCTACACAAATATACATTTATCGTGGTCAAGAATTGATATGATGTGGTTGTCAACAGAGCTGACGCTCAAAATAACTAAGATAGACATAGATATAAGCACATGGGCAGATCATAGTCCAACAACAATAACTTGGAAAGGACAGAGGAAAAAAGGGAGATGGACTTTAAATTCAAGAACATTGAAAGAAAAAAGTTTCCAGCAATATATGGAAAAAAAATGACATATTTCTTCCAGGAAAATGGAAAGGAAGACACATCATTACACAAGTATAAGTATATCATTTGAAAAAAACCCATGTGCAAGAAATGTCCAAATTAAGAAGTATAAAAATGCAAGGAGGATAGCATAAAAAATACTTACTTTCTGCCTTTCACATATACATAGGTGCCCATGTAGACTCTTCTGCTTCCAACAATGTCTGCTATTTCAGGCACCAAATTTGCAAAGAGGATCTAGACAATGGGAACCCAGTTTCAATAGTTTTCCAAGAGTCATATAAAATGTTTATTTTTTCCACAGCAACTCGAAATGAATCAATGGTTGTCAAGAAACCATGGATGGAAACTAATCAAGGAGAGAAGCAACCTAGAACTAAGGGGAAATTTCCTAACAGTGGGAACAATTAATCAATGGAATGGCTTGCCTTCAGAAGTTGTAGATGCTTCCATCATTAGAGGCTTTTAAGAAGAGATATGGGACAGCCACTAGTGTGGAATAGTGTAGGGCCTTGAGCAAGGGGTTGACCTAGAAGACCTCTAAGGTCCCTTCCAACTCTATTATTCTATATCAGGAAAAGTACATATTCATTTTTTAAAGTAATAATAATAATAATGGACAATTCAGTATGTAATTAGCCTTTTCCAACCTATTCTCCAAATGAATGGATAAAGCTGCCAGAACTCAGACTTAGTATGACAGGTTACTTAAATTTATTGTCAACCCAAATTTGAAATTGTAACCCAAGAGATCTGGTAGACATCANGTTATAATGTACAATTGGGGTTGCTTTATTTACCATCCCATAGCATTATATATTAGAAAGACAGTACAATCAAATAAAATTTTTGAAGATGGAGAGAGCAGAATACTGATGGTGGAAATAATGATGAACATGAGAAAGATATTATTAGTGACAATATACACTCCAAAACGACAAACAAGAATAATTTTTTGGGAAATTACTAATTACTATGAAGATATATGTATACTAGGAGACTTTAATGCAATTGTAAATAATGAAATAGACTATAAATTTACAAAGATGAATAAGAAGCTGAGAAAAATTATACCCAAAACATTTTTCATGATGGTGGAAGAATTAAACTTGCAAGATGCTTGGAGAATATGACATCTGAAAGACAGACAATATACATTCTACACAAATATACATTTATCGTGGTCAAGAATTGATATGATGTGGTTGTCAACAGAGCTGACGCTCAAAATAACTAAGATAGACATAGATATAAGCACATGGGCAGATCATAGTCCAACAACAATAACTTGGAAAGGACAGAGGAAAAAAGGGAGATGGACTTTAAATTCAAGAACATTGAAAGAAAAAAGTTTCCAGCAATATATGGAAAAAAAATGACATATTTCTTCCAGGAAAATGGAAAGGAAGACACATCATTACACAAGTATAAGTATATCATTTGAAAAAAACCCATGTGCAAGAAATGTCCAAATTAAGAAGTATAAAAATGCAAGGAGGATAGCATAAAAAATACTTACTTTCTGCCTTTCACATATACATAGGTGCCCATGTAGACTCTTCTGCTTCCAACAATGTCTGCTATTTCAGGCACCAAATTTGCAAAGAGGATCTAGACAATGGGAACCCAGTTTCAATAGTTTTCCAAGAGTCATATAAAATGTTTATTTTTTCCACAGCAACTCGAAATGAATCAATGGTTGTCAAGAAACCATGGATGGAAACTAATCAAGGAGAGAAGCAACCTAGAACTAAGGGGAAATTTCCTAACAGTGAGAACAATTAATCAATGGAATGGCTTGCCTTCAGAAGTTGTAGATGCTTCCATCATTAGAGGCTTTTAAGAAGAGATATGGGACAGCCACTAGTGTGGAATAGTGTAGGGCCTTGAGCAAGGGGTTGACCTAGAAGACCTCTAAGGTCCCTTCCAACTCTATTATTCTATATCAGGAAAAGTACATATTCATTTTTTAAAGTAATAATAATAATAATGGACAATTCAGTATGTAATTAGCCTTTTCCAACCTATTCTCCAAATGAATGGATAAAGCTGCCAGAACTCAGACTTAGTATGACAGGTTACTTAAATTTATTGTCAACCCAAATTTGAAATTGTAACCCAAGAGATCTGGTAGACATCAGATTAAAGCAAGACAGCAGGCACAGTTAAGTACAGCAAAATGCACAAACTGGAAATTATTTCAATCTCAAATTATACATTAGATTTGAATATTTCGTCTAGAAGGAAAAGAGCAAAATGTAAATTTGAGATTTGGACCAATTCATTCTTATAATAATAAAACATGGAATGTTTCAGCCTCAACCTGTTACCATATGCCACTTTCTTCTAGCTTTTACATGGACAAGAATTGTTTGCAGTTGTTATTATCCATTCATATATGAAGTGAAGCTGACTTAAAAGTTCTGTGTTCATCCAAATCCTAATATGTTCCTTACCAGACCAGCAACAATGAAGAAAAGTATGAACACCCGTCCTATGGTGGTTTGGACCACTACATCTCCATATCCAACTGTAGACATCGTTACCATGATCAAGTATAAACATTCAAAGTAAGTCAAGTTTTGATGATTGCTGTGATATACCCAGGGATCTCCAGAATTCTCCATCTGTATAATCAATAAATTATAAATAAATGTAAGAACTATGGCCAATACAGCAAGACATTGTCATTTGCTGACATCATCCTGGTGTGCTTGTGACTAAGTCATTGTTAATTGTAAATTAAAAATAAGAGATAAAATGTTCTTATGTTCAACAACTTTGAACTTCTTTTGAAATTCACCTGTTCAGGCTTTTCCTGAATTAACATTATTCTTGTCCTGAGAGCTTTCTTCATTATATCCACTGACTAGGTTGGTGCATTCTAAATATGAGTTACTCTATTCACACTTCATAATATGCTCAAACAGGTAACCTACACCATAATTTAAGGAGATGGTATAGTTCACACAACATGCTAAATACAGTGACTAGGTTTCTGGACTTGTATGTCACATATCATTCTCATGAAGTCTGTGTTAACTTTCTTTCATTAGAAAAGAAAACTTGATTACACATAATAAAATTGGATTTATCTACTGAATCATACAGTGCCCCCAAAACAGTAACTGTGAAAGGGACCTTAGAATCCTAGTGGACAATCACTTAAATATGAGCCAGCAGTGTGCAGCAGCAACCCCCCCCCCCAAAAAACACCCTAATACAATCCTTGGTTGTATAAACAAAGTTACAGAATCAAAATCAAGGGAAGTATTAATATTGCTTTATAAAACCTTAGTATAAGACCACACCTGGAATACTGCATCCAGTTTTGGTAACCACATTACAAAAAAGACGTTGAGATTTTGGAAAAAGTGCAGAGAAGAGCAACTAAAATGATTAAAGGACTGGAAGTAACACATATTAAAAACGGTTGCAGGATTTGGGCATGGCTAGTCTAGAGAAAAGAAGGGCAAGGGTGATGTGATAGCAGTATTCCAGATTTCACAGGCTGCCACAAAGAAGAGAGGGGTCAACATTTTCCAAAATCTCAAGAGGACATGGTAAGAAAAAAAAGTGATGGAAACTAATCAAGGAAAGAAGCAACCTGGAATTAAATTTCCTAACAGTGAGAACAATAAACCACTGCA